GCCAGTGGACCCCGCTATAGACACGACCTGAATCTGTCCCAGGTGCAAGCACCCGTGACCGCAATCGCCCCCCTGGCTTTCTGAATGTTGGGGGCCTTCTCCCACGGATGCACTATTTGCATTTTTGTCTTTATCCTAATGTCTTTACACTAATCCTTGGTGAGATTTGTTTTTCATTGTTCTCGGCGGGTTTCCCAGCTGTGAAGCGCCGGAGGAGTGGGTGTACCATGATGCTAACTGATGCCGGGGGGTTATACGGAATGCAGGGTGGGGGGTGGGCAATAAGGAGGGGAAGGGGATTTCGGGAGTAAGTATTGAAGGCGGGAGGGGGGAGGGGGCACAGAAGCTGATGGATTTTCCCCATCATTTTAACGGGGGCTCTTACAGCTCTTATCACATTCCATACATCAATTGTATGAAGGATATTTGTACATATGTTGCCATCATTATTTTCTAGTCATTTACTTTCTAGTGAGCCCTTGGTAGAAAATCATTTTGAAGTCCCTTTTTCGCAACAGAGAATTGTGTTGATGGTTGTTGTTGTGAGCTGCCGCCAGGCTCTTCCTGCTTCCAGCACCGTCCTGTACAAAGGAAGAGACAGTACCCAGCCCAGGGCCAGCCTCGGGCTTGCTGTTAGGTCTGAGCCCACTGTGGCTGCCAATGTGTCCATCCACCCTGTAGGGGTCTTCCTCTTTTGTGGTGCCCCTGGCTTCCACACTTGACAGAGGCCTGTGCAGCAGGCTTGCCCTAAGCAGGAAGTCATTTGTTTCTTGTGGCTACTTCCGTGCGCATGGATTGCGGATCCAAGAAAGGTAACTCCTTGACGACGGCAGTCTGTTCTCCATTTGTCATCACGTTGTTCAGGCTCCAGTCCGAGGATTTCTGTTTTCTTTATATTGATTTGTTCACGATAGATTATTAAATGTTTACATTGTGCTAATATTTGGTTTGTAGCCACGATGGAGTGACAGGGAATGGATTTTCCTTTTGACTGGGAAAAACATGTACAAGTACATGAAACAAAGGTTTTCTAAACCATTAGACATCAGGAAGCCTGGGATGGTGACCCTGGAAAGACAGCGGAAACACTACTTCTATTATTGCCCCCAGGTTACTGGCTGGAGAGAGTTTCTGGGATGCAGCACCCAGTGGGAGAGTTGGGCAGTAGTGGCAGGGGTGGGGGTGGGGGGTGTCTTAGACCCAGCAGAGCCCAGCCATCTCCCTGCCTTGAAGAGATGAATCTGGAAGCCCATGGAGGACCAGGCGGCTAGGGTTCACAGAGCACGTCACTGGAGAGGAGAAGGCTGAGCAGAAAGGTCTCTAGAGCTTTCAGAAGATCTCTCTCCAGTCTTCACCTGAGGACTGAGCCGTGCACACCTGTGAGGAAGTTACCCATGGGTCGGTAACAATCCTGGAGTTCAGTCAGGACTAGAAACAGTCCGCGTTCTCACCAGCCACGGGAAAAGATCTCACAATTCACAGGATCATGCCTAGAGTACTCAGAACCTGATTGCCTTGGTTGGTTAGGGGTATGGGAGTTGATTGGCCCTAGGCTGTTGCTTCAGTCCCCTTAGCAAAGATGAGAAACAAACTTTCAAGTGATCAGAAGGTTTCCAAGTAACTTAGTTTCATACCAAATCAATGTTGGAGAACATTTACGTGGTCGCCAGACACCACCGAGTCTGTCGTGACTCACAGCCGAGCAGAGCACTGGCCCTGCGCCATCCTCACAGCTGTTAGGCCTGAGCCCATCATCGAAGTCACCGTGTCAACTCACCTCATTGTGGGTCTTCCTATCTTTCGATGCCGCTCCACTTTACCAAGCATGCAGCCCTTTTCCAGAGACTGGTCTTTCTTGATAACACGCCCCACGTATGGGAGACAATGGGCTTAAACATAACGACCAGTGCCTTTGCATAGTCAGTAAAACACAAGTAGACATTTCTCCATCATTCTCTGCTTTCAGCCAGTATCTATCTGACATCAGCAACAATATCCCTTGTGCCATGTCCTCTTCTGAACTTTGAATTTGTAGCAGCTCCCGTCAATGTACTTACTGCCTTTTGTTTTGTTTTTTAATTACATTCAGCAAAGCTTTACTCGCATGTGATATTTATGATATTGGTCAATCATTTGTACAGTCTGTTGAGCTTTCTGTATTTGGAATGGGCGCTAATGGAGCTCTCTAGTCAGTTGACCAGGACACTGTCTTCCAAACTTCTTGGCAGAGATGAGTGAGTGCTTCAGAGCTCCATCAGTTTGCTAAACGGTTTCTGTTGGTCATCCACCCATTCCTGGAGCCTTCTTTTTCTCTCATGTCTTCAGGGCATGTACGTCTTCCTTCAGTACCATCAGTTATTGATAATATGCTACTTCTTGAAATGGTTTTATGTCAACCAGTCCTTTTTGTAACAGTGACTCTGTGTATTCCTTCCATAGTCTTTTGATGCTTCAATAATTTGCCCACAGAAACCTTTAATAGTGCAACTCTCGGTCTGACTGTTTCTTTTAGTTCTGTCTTGAGATGTGCTGAACATGTTCATTCTTTTTGAGTTTTTAACTCAGGTCTTTGCACAGTTCATTATAATATTTTATTTTGTCTTCACGGGCTGCCCTTTGACATTTTCTGTCCAACTCTTTCACTTCATCATTTCTTACAGTTGGTTTAGCTACTCTATGTTCAAGAGTAAGTTTCAGCATCTCTTCTAACATCCACTTTGCTCTTTTCTTTCTTTCCTGCCTTTTTAATAACCTTTTGCTTTCTTTACATACAATGTTCTTGATGTCACCCCACAGCTCATCAGCTCTTCGTTGAATAGGGTTCAGTGCAGAAATCTGTTTTTGAGATATTCTTGACATTTAGGATATGTATATGACATATATATATTTAGGGTATATATACACACACATATATATGAGCTATTGATGGTCTGCCCCACAGTCAACCTCCGGCCTCATTTTGGCAGCTGAGCATGCACTTCTCCATGATCTCTTCCCACAGTGGGAGTCAATTTGATTCCTTTGTGTTCCACTTGGTGAGGTTCATGTATACAGTTGTGGTTTAGATGGTTTTAAAAAGGTATTTGCAATGAAGACTTTGTTGCTCTTAGAAAATGCTGCCATGCGATCTCCAGCTTCATTTCTATCATCGACCATATTTTCCCATACTGATCCTTCCTCTTTGTTTCAAAATTTTAAATTCTAATGAACAATAATTATCAATGCATCTTGATTACATGTTTGATCGATTTCAATATGAAGAAAACCGTGGAGTTCTTCCATTACTGCATCCCTCGCTTTAGTGGTTGGTGCATTAAACTGAATGATCGTCATCTTGACTGCTCTTCCTTATGGGTGTGTGGGTACTACTCTCTAACTGACAACATTGAACTTCAGAGTAGATCTTGAAATGCTCTGGTTTGCAATGGATGCAAGCCCATTCCTCCTGGGTCTGTCATCCCAGGCATAGTAGGCCACACAATGGTCAGATTCAGATTGGCCAGTGCCAGTCCATTTTAACTCACTAATGTCCGGGACATCAATCTTTCTGTGTTCCCTTTCATTTGGGGCAATTTCCAATTTTCTTACGTTTAGGCTCTGTACAGTCCACACATAAAATTTTAATGGATATCTGCCATTGATTTTTTCCCCTAAATTTAAGTCATGCCCAGCAGTAGATGAAGGTCCCCAAAGCTTTGTTCAATCTATATCATTAAGCTCAGCTCCCATTAGAGGGGGCAGTGTCTCCCCACCTGAGGAGCTCATCTTCCACACGACATCAGACAATGTTTCACTACCTGCCTCCGATTCTCAGCAGGTAATTTTCCACACATGGGCAGTCTATGCCTTCTTCCCAGTCTGTTCTTAGTGAACCGTGTTCACCATGGCTGAGCCTGTGGCATTTGAAATAGACCAGTGTTATGGCTTCCAGCATCATAGCAACATGCAAGCCAGCACAGTGTGCCAAACTGACAGCCACGTGGTGCTCTCTCGCAATGGATATCTGTTCGCCTAACTGGTTGGTATACGCGTGGTAGAAATGCTCTCATTTTTCATAAGCTGCAGGCAGCAGTACTGACAAAAATACTTGTTCGGGCCCGAGTCCTGGTCCATGAGTTCAATACTAATGAGTCAGTAATGTATATTAAATGAGGCATGTTTAAACAGAAGTACATGTAAAACAAGATGATGCATTTAGCAGTTGACCAAAAGAAAGAAAGAAAGAAATGCTGAGACCAGAGTCTCACAGAAACCTAATCCTGTATTGCCTGCATTCATTAATTTCCCTAATTCAGTGTTCCTGGTGATATGCACCAAAATGTTAATGGTGCTTAATGAATCCACAGGTGATTTTGTCCTTTTAGTTTTAAAAATACCCTGTTTTATTGTTGTTGAAACAGATGCAGCAGAAATACACCAATTCGACCATCTCTATATATACAAGTCTTTGACACTGATCACAGCCTTGAAGTTGGGCAAACACTGGAAGCCTCCTCTTCCAACTGGCTCCTATCCCATTTACAAAAACTCACCGTCCCGAAGCCTCCCGTCTGATCTTTCCAAATGCTGACTCACATAAATAGTTCTTTAGAGGAGCCCAATGCTCAAGGCCAATATTCTTTACAAATTAAACTAAATTATAGTTTGATTGAGGAGACTTGGTGGTTCAGTGGTTAAATGACAGAGCTGTTCACCAAAAGGCAAGCGGTTCAAACCTACCAACCGCTCCATGAGAGAAAGCGGAGGCAGCCAGCTTCTGTAAAGATTTTCCAGTGCGGCATTTCTACTCTGTCCTGCTGGGTCACTATGAGTCAGAGTCGATTAAATGGGATCAATGGGTTTTTGTTTTTCACAGTTTGGTTCAAAGAAGACTTTGGGGGTGTTTGGGGTTTGAGGTTTAAAGCTGATGGTGCCCCTGCAATGCTTCCCAAAGTCTGAATTCCATGAGAATACAAAACTCTCACAGACCACTGTTAATCTCTCTTTGCTGTGTTTTGCAGATTTTCTACCCTGAATGTGTTCCTTTTGCAGTCAGAGAGGAAAGAAAAGATAACTAAAATTCCAGAGCATTACAAAAGAGGAAGTGAGGGGCGCACTACACGCCTTCCCAGGAGCTGGAGCTGAGAGGGGCAGGGCTGAGGGTACGGCTTCTGCTATAAGGGGCAGCCTGCAGCGAAGGGTACTTCTGCTCCTGCTTCCTCTGGGACCATGCGACTTCCGCTGCTGTGTGTGCTGGTGGTGATCGCTGGTGAGTAGGGTGTCAGCCCCCACGGCTGGGACGGGAAGACGAAATGCAGGCAGGCTCTACACCCACCTTCTTAAACTAGGGGCTGCTGCCCTGGTAACCCATGCACAGATCCCCCGAGGCCTCCAATCTTCCAGGCCCTCCCTGCAGGGAGTGGTGCTTAGTTGCCCATCTCCTAGCCCCGTGCTTTGTTTGGACCAGAGAAGACCCGGCTGCCAACCCATCGGGTGTGCCCCAGGACAGGTGAGAGCCTGCAAGTTCAGAGGCTGGCAGCTTGCTGGCAGACAGCTCTGGTGTGCTGGACCCAAATGACAGAAGTGAGGTCTGTCCTCCTCACTCTATGCAGCCTGTCCCTTTGGCTGAATAATAACAATCATGTACCTTCACACAGCACGCTCTAATCTTCAAGCCCTTCATTTCTGTGATTGTCTCGGATCCCAAGGGGAGGGGAGGGGGCCGTTTCCGTTCTCCCTTTAGCAGAGTCAATGCAAAACTGGGGTTGCTGGCAAATCATTTTAGTTTCTCAATCCATTTCTCAATCCATCTCAAAAGGTGCTGGGGGGCTTTGCTTTTTAAGAAGGATTTTGAATTTTTTAATTAAGGTTTTAGGATATCTTGGGACCCCCAAATTCTGGAGAGGAACACATCTCCAAGATTTCAGTGGGAACTTTGAAGAAAATTGCACTCCACCTTCAGAAATTCATCTCTCAAATGCAAAGAGGCAGCTATGCCACAGAGATAGAAACCACAAACGAGCGTACAGCTAGAAGGCACAGTTTCAACCTTCCAGGGTGAGTTTAGTGTATTTCGGAGCCAAAATGGAAAGAGCTACATTTGGGGTGGAAAGGGAGATGACGTTCATCAAGAAGGCAACATTCTAAGTTCAGGCCTCTGTTGGGCCCACAAGAGGGACTGTAAGCTCTTCTTGGCAATTGGTTCCTTTGAGTTCTGTGTCACTAATCCAGCCCTTAAGGGTGGGTTGTGTGTGATTCATTCTCAAGGTCACAGCTCGTAAGAGTTCTCTTTGGCATCCCGTGCAGTAGGAACCACTAGAGCGATCATTTCTTTTAGCAGAATCAATACTTGACTAGTCCCAAGGAGCTGGAGATCAAAGATGTCCCGGATATTCAACTCCTCAGGATGCCCTGCTGCTCCACTTCCCCCACTCCTCCCTTGAGCATCCCCTCGTGCCCCTGGGTTCTGTGATTCATAGCAGTGTCCCACAGAAACTCACAAAACTGTGAGCAAACCTCTCATGAGATAGTGGATCTGCTTGCTGTTCAGTGCCCAACCCAAAAGGTCAGGCAGAGGCGAGCCGAATGCAAAGTTCCAGCCAGAACCCCACAGTGTCCAAAAGTCACAGCAGGACTCCTTGCTTCCACCAGAGCTCGGTCAGGAAACAGAGGTCTGGCTTTCCAGGGAAGGAGAGGTGCATTGGGTATTTATAAACACCATCCAAGGGAAACAAGGAATGGTCTCTAAGCTACAGCCTCAGCTAAGGTAGACTCAAAGATGTGCCCCAGGAAACAAAGGCTGGGGCTTGGTTCACTCCCTCTATTTATAAAACAAAAAACAAAAAAACCCCAAAACCTCACTGCCATTGAGTCAATGCCAACTCATAGTGATCCTCTAGGATAGAGTAGACTTGCCCCTGTCGGTTTCTAAGACTGTCACTCTTTACGGGAGTAGAAAGCCTTGTCTTTCTCCCAAGGAGCTACTGATGGTTTCAAACTGCTGGGTTTGCAGTTAGCAGCCCAACGTGTAACCACTACGCCACTAGTGTTCCCTACCCTGTTCATCCACCGTAGAGGACTGCTTCCAAAGGGGACTGCAGTAATAGGTGTAGAGAGTCCTGAATTAAACTACTATATCATTAAGGAATTATGGCTAGAAGGGCCATATTTATTGATGACAATTGATGATAACTCACCACCAGGTCAAAACAGAAGTGTCCAAACACTTCTCCGAGGATACAAGTCTACAAGGACCAGCTGCCACTCAGCCATTGCCCTCTGTCCACTGCAAGGATCCTTGCTGAAGCTTCTCTTCCGTGCCCCCTCCTGTGCAGGGCTGCTAGAGCTCAGGAGGCTCAGCCTCTTTTTCATTCCAACATCATTCTCCCAAAGGAGACCCTAACTAGGGTCGCTCAAAGTAAGGACATAGTAAGAGGTCACTAACTACAACTCCCTTTTCCTGGCAGCACCAGGCCAGCCTTCGTACCCTCGGCTCCATCCAGGGCAACGCTCGCATGTTCTTCAATCCGCTCGAGAGGCTGCACACGTGTACATTTCAGCCCCTCTCCTCGTGTCCGTTTCTCCCAACTTCACCCCTGAACTCATCGCCTGCATAGATTTCATTTCTTCTGGCATAACATAATAATGCAATCCTCTCTCCTGATGAAATACGTTCCCCTTATGATCCATTTTAAACAGCAGTGAGTGTGATTGAAATTGAACTAGCCATGACAATTCTTCCTGTATAGATCAGGCCGCCCTCCAAGAGACCCACTGGTCACACGCACTCTTTAATGTATGAGTGTCTGTAGGGGAGGGAGGCTCATTCCCAGTGGGAAATCGATAGAGATGGAGACTGGAAGCAGACTCCTGGGGGTTGTCGTCCTGGCTCCTGCATTGACCAGTCACTGTGAACCTGGGCAGAAGCCCTGAAAGCGTAGTTGTTATGCCCGTGGCTATTGACTGCAGGGTCAGCAGTCTAAAACCCCAGCCTTTCTGCGGGAGGTAGAGGAGACTTTCTACTCCCAACAAGACTTCCAGTCTCGGAAACCCACAGGATTTCCAGCAGGGCAGTTCTACCCTGTCCTAGGGGGTCGGGCCGTTATGAGTCAGAATCAGCATAATGGCAGTGAGGTTTTTCTATTTGTTTGTTTTACGACCTTCACCCCAAGGTCAGGGGTTTGAGGCCACCAGCTGCTCCAAGGGAAAAGGATGACACTGTCTATTCCTATAAAGAGTCAGAGCCTCGGAAACTCGCAAAGGGTCGCTGTGGATTGGAACGGACTCAGTGGCAGTGGGTTTATGACTTTAGACTCGAGGCAGCGGCAGTTCTCTCCTTCCATGCAGAAGTCCCGAATTTTATCCCTGGCCAATGCAGCTCCTTCAAAGCCACCACCGTCGATCAGTGGGGGCAGCGTGTGTGCTGTCACGGTGTTGAGATGACTTGAGTGCAGCCGATCGATTAGGAAGTAAACAGCTTGGTGATCTACTTCCAAGTCTCTGCCAAGGAAACGTCTGTGGATGCGGAAGGTCCGATCCGCCATTCCCCGTGGGGATGTGCAGGGCCAAGCAGCCTTTTGCCCCCTGGCACCTGGCATTACCGGGAGTCCAGGCCAAACCAATGGCAGTAGCAGTGACCTTGAGCAAGTACTGAACCTCCGCTTTCCCATCAGTGAAATGGAGAAAGACAGTAGCACTCCTTGTGCCAGTGGGAGGGTCTGAGCTTGACAAATGTATCGCAGCCTGCCCTGTACGTGATAACATTGGAAGCAAGCAGCGAGGGTGCGTGGGAACTCGCTGTCCTATCTTCACAACTCGTTTGAAATCTGGAAGCACTCCATAACAGGGTGCTTGCGGACTTTTGAAAAGTCGCACGCCTTTCACGGTGGCTCTGAAAAATTGATACTGATCGCCTGAGACACTGCCGGGTGGTGCCTGGGCCCGAGTGAGCACGGACGGGGTCACTAGGGTGATGTTTCCATAGCGGTACCTGCCCCAACCCCCCGGCCACCCCCTGATTTCATCTTGTCTCCTTATGCCGGCGGTTTGGCAGGTGTGATCCCAATCCAGAGCGGGGTTCTGAACCTGAACAAGATGGTCAGACAAGTGACCGGGAAGATCCCCCTCATCTCCTATTGGTTCTACGGCTGTCACTGTGGACCTGGTGGCAAAGGCCAACCCAAGGATGCCACAGACTGGTAACCCTCCCGGGCTCAGCCTGCGGGCGGCATTCCTGCCCTGCCTCCACCTCGCCCCTCTCCTGGCCTCCCATCCGCTCCGGGAACACTTGTTGCGTGTGTGCTGTGTGCTAGGAATTCTGCTGATGCAGCCCCCAGCCCTCCCCTTCCAGAGGGTTCCCCGGAGTCTCAGGGGCCACTCCCTCACACTTCCAAGCCCAAACCCAGTCACCCCACAGAGGCTCTCGCCATTGTTTTTTGTAGGGTCAGTTGTTTTTGCCAATGCAGGCTCCTCCTCCCCGGACCCCCAGTCTGAAAGCAGAGCAGGTCTAGGATCCCTTTTGAAGGTGGAAATGGCATAAAGGAACAAAAGCCATGGCCGTTCATTTATATGGGGAAAAAATTCTGCGTGTTCCCAGACCCCACACGGGAGCCCTGATGGTGTAGGGTTTATGCATTCGGCTGCTAACTGCAAAGTCAGCAGTTCAAAACCACCAGCCTCTTTGAGGGTGAAAGATGAGGCTTTCTACTCCCGCAAAGCATTACAGTCTCAGAGACCCACAGTGGCAGTTCTACCCGGTCCTGTAGGGTTGCGATGCGTTGGAATTCAATCAACGACAGTGAATTTGTTTTTTGATTCAAGACCCAGAAAATAGCGTACCAAAGCAAGTAACCAGATTAATACATAGCCCTAAATTCACACTGACATCAGTGTTCACTGATACAGCTGACCTGGTAAGTGTGATTTCCGGGGAAAGGGCTTGAGGACGTCACTCTCGCTGCTCAGGGTGCACACTGCCCCTTTGATCAAACTAAAAAACCCAAGCTCGCTGCCCACAAGTCAATGCTGACTCACAGCGACTCTCTAGGACAGAGTAGAACTGCCCCTGTGGGTCTCTGAGACTGTCGCTCCTTGCAGGAGTAGAGAGAGCCCCGTCTTTCTCCCGCGCTGGTGGTCATGGACCGCTGGCCTGAGGAGTGCAGCCCCCCACGTGACCGATACACCACCCAAGCACTGAGTGCTCTGTCCCATTGTTGCCATCTTTCATAAAAGTGAAAATCCACTTGGGATTTCTTTCAGTTGGCAAAACAGTTGCTACTATTGGTCCTTCATAAACATGAAGTGAATTTTCAAAAAGCCAGGGACACCTGCATTTGATTTGATCTTCACGACAACCCCAGGAATTGGCAGAGGACACCTGAGAGCCAACCCGGTCTGGAGTCACATTCCTGTAGTATCACTCCCAGGCTGTGTGACCTTGGGCAAGGGATTTGAACTCTCTGAGCCTGTTTGCTCGCTAGTGGAGTGGGGGTAATAACAGTGCCTCCTGCAGAGAGAGGATTATCGTGAGGATGAACAGAGACCTGACCATCATGGCAGAGTCTCCCCTCCCAATAAGAGAGACCAGGCCCCAATCCGCAGCCCATAAACCTCATGCACAGCCTGTCCCATCTGTCTGTGGAGACCTTTGTGCCCCAGGGATGCTGAACACAGCCAGGAAAACCCTGCCATCACCTGAGCCCATTGTCACTGGCTCTGGGCGAGGGGTGGAACCAGGTAGTGATCCCTTCATTGTACACGGGCTGCCATGAGTTGAGGACCCAGCCTACACCAATTAATAACAATATTAAATGCCTGGTGATCGCTCAATAAACATAAGCTATTATGATCATAGGGAGCCCTGGTGATGCCATGAGTTACCACGAGGTCAGGGGTTCAAACTCACCAGCTGCTCAGTGGGAGAAAAATGAGCTTACCTGCTTCTGTAAAGATTCACGGGCTCAGAAACCCTATGCGGGAGTTCGATTCCGTCCTGGGAGGTTGCCCTGCGCTGGAGTCCACTCAGCGGCCGTGGTTGGGTCTGGGTTTTACTGTGGTCATGGCTCAGAGCTCAGAGGGCCTTGACTTTTCCACGTGGCCACCCAGACTTGTCCCCGGGGTGGGGGTCATTCAGGCACCCACGTTAGCCAAGGGCCTGCAGAGGTGTGCTCCCAACCTCCTCACCAACCCCGCCCTCTCCTCCCCGCAGGTGCTGCAAGAACCATGACTGCTGTTACTCCAATTTGACCAGGTACAGATGTCGTTTCAACACCGACCACTACAGATTCAACTTCTCCCAGGGGACCATCTACTGCAGTGAGTCCGGCCGGGCCTCAGGGTGGCATCGGTCATGCACAGGGCCCTCACTCATGCCCCGAGGCAGCCTCTGGGGGAGGGGCAATGTGAGGAGGGCCCTTAGGGACTTAGACCCCCTTCAAGACCTGGGCAGAAGCAATGCTTCCTATGTCCGCCAAGCCCTGTCAATGCACCAGAGGTAGCCTGGGTGGGACAGGGGTCAGCCTGGATTCCAGGCGCACTGTCTATGAGCTCTGTGACCTGGAACCTGCTGCTTAACCTCTCTGAGCCTTGGTTTCCGCACCTGTAAGCCTCAGGGAGATCACAGTGCCCAAACTTTACAGCCGCTGCTAGAATGAAAGCAAGAGCAGACAGATGGATCCTCCCGGGGAGTGAGTCACACTGTGGTCAATCACCCTGCCGACCCATGTTGGTCCCCAACGCAGAGCCCAAGGGAGGAGGCACTGCCATTCTGCTTCATTACAGAGTGTTGACTGCAGATGGCAGAGTCTGGGCTGGGACCCAGGTCACTTAGTCCCCGAATCCATGAGAGGGTCCCCCACCTAGAAAAAGCCAGCAGGACTCAGGGATGGCACCCAGAAGCTCATCACTGAAGTCACTGTCGACTGAGGGCTTCATGGTAATAGTGTCCCTGGGTGGATGAGTGGTTGGTGCGCCTGGCTGCCCTCTGGAAGGTGGGAAGTTCAAGTTCACCCTGAGAGGAAAGCCTTGGCCATCTTTCTGGTAACCCTTGGAGAGGGCACAGCTCTACTGGGGCCCACAAGGGGTTGCCAGGAGTCAGAATAAACACAAAGGCCACTGGTCCTGGGAACCCCAATGCGGCTACGACCCCACACTAATCACACGCTTAGGATTACCAGGGACTGTGCTCAGTGCTTTGCCTTCTTAGCCAAGAGCCCAAACCAGACGTGTTGCCTCGGAGTTGTTTCTGACTCCAGGACAGACAGACTAGGACTGCTCCAAGGGGTTTCCAAGCCTGTCAGTCTTTCCACCAGCTCTTTCTCCCTGGGAATGGCTCATGGGTTCACACCACTGAGCTTTCTGTTCACAGCCAGTCCGCGAACCACTCTACCACTGGGGCGCCATCTTTTATTTCTGACTTTTGTTTCAATTTCCCAACAGCCCCCAAGGCCGTGTTGATCCCTCTCCCCGTCTTAAAGATAAGGAGGAGCCCTGGTAGCATAATGGTTACACACAGGGCTGTGATCCGCAAGGTCGGATGTTTGAAACCACCAGCCTCTCCACTGGAAAAAGACAGGGCTTCCTATTCCCGTGAACAAGGATAGTCTCAAAAACTAGCAGGGGCAGGTCTACCCTGTCCTCTAGGGCCCCCTGCATTGGCTTCAACCTGATGGAGGTGAGTTTGGTTTGGGTTTGGGATATAGAAAGAAACCGAGGCACAGCACCACCTCGCCTGCCTCCCCCTCGGGGACACAGACCTCACCAGGGCGGGGGCCACATCTGTCCTGGTCTCCCTTCATCTTCAGACTGGCAGGTGTCCATGCCTACGGAATGGAGGATAAGTACAGGAAGGGGTCGTGGTGCCCAGGGAGGCCATGGTTCATGTCCAAGGTCACACGGCTATGATTGAAGGGGCAGGGGTGGAAGCCTGGGTCCTCTGCAGCCAGGGCAGGCTGTATGGCTGTCAGAATCGGGAGGGGACGGACACTGAGCCCCTTCCTTCCTCCTTCCACAGCCGACAAGGGAAGCTGGTGTGAGCAGCAGCTGTGTGCCTGTGACAAGGAGATAGCCCTGTGCCTGCAGCGCAACCTGAGCTCCTACAGCAAGCGCCTGCGGTACTACTGGCGGCCCCGCTGCCAGGGCCAGAAGCCGGAGTGCTAGGCGGAGTCCCCTGCAGCCCCGCCATGTGTCTCCACCCCCTGGTCCCTTGCCTCTGCCAGCTTGTCTGGAAGCCCCACGGGATTCCCAAGGCCTCCACCTAGCACTGAACCCCTGTAGAGCAGCCTGGCCCCTTTAGAACCGCACCTCTGTGAGTCTGAGCACAGGGGTGAAGCTGGCGGAAAAGACAGATGCCCTCCTTTTAGGATGTTCCCCACAATAAACGAAGAGTGGCACTGATCGACCAATCAGGCTACGCGAACCTTATTTGAATCTTGACTGGAACAACACGTTTCAAAAGTGGACATTGATTAAGCAAGTGCAAATGTGAACACCGATTAGACACCCACTTTACGCTCAGACCCGGCTCACATGCCACCCCTACCGTGCCTCTTTGATCTTCTAAATCCTCCAACTGAGGCAGCAGCTGTCGGCTCTGAAGGGGGACCCGGGTCTTAGAAAAAAGACTCAAAGCCAGCTCAGGAGGAGCCCTTAGGTTGGGGTCAAGGCGGGGGACCAACTGAAGGTGCCAGGTTCTCTGGAGGGATGGCTCTGCTGCCCCTTCCTGCACTGCATCCACAGCGCCCCTTTAGTACAATGCTGCCGAGCTGCAGCCTGAGTCAGCTCCCCAAAGGGCACGTTGATTTTTCTGCCCTTGTTACTCTTCAGCCTTTCCCCAGACCCAGGAGGGGACTTTCCCAGGGTGACAGGTCCCAGAGTGGTAACCCTGTGTCCTCCTCCCTACTAGGCTTGGGACTTTGGGTTTTGTCCCTGGCATTCAGAGTGGTGCCTAGCCCAGAGAGGATTCTGAAATAGCCCTCAAGCGAAGGCTTGGCCAGGCGGCCTACCCTTGCTTCAGACACCAGGTCCCCAAAGGCTCCAGTGCCAGCGGTCTCTGGGAGGGCAGCCCTCCCCTGGCTTACGGGGCAGGGCCTACCAGCCAAAGCTCGCTGGTTGCTCTGCTTCCTCCTCAGAGCTCCTTCCTGGAACGTCAGGGACTCTGACCCCACCTGTCCCTTCTTTCTTTCCTCTTCCCTCTCACAGATCAGGACTCGTGCTTGCGATGTGCAAAGTAGTTCAGAACCAGAGCCCACCGCGCCCGGCTCTCACCTGGCTTTGGGGACCTGGTCCCCTGGCCTGTCTTCTGCACCCCCCGGCAGGTTTCCTCTGAGAGCCATCCCGCAATAAACCGCTCGCACACAGCCCCTCATCTCGGGCTCTGCTTCCAGGAAGCCTGCCCAGCACAGAGGAATGGTGGACTTTTGCCACAGAAGGAGCCACAGCTGTCTTTCATGCATGTTGACCTGTGCTTCCAGCCATGGGGTCGGGATGCCAGGGACAGGCCACGCTCCAGCCTGGCGCACCTACTTGTGAAATGCCAGGCGGCATCATCAGAATTAGGAGCCACAAGACTCTGAGTTCAAATCCCAGTTACAGAGCTGACAAGACCCCTGGGCTCACAGGAGGTGCCTCAGTTTTGCCTCAGTTTCCTCGTCCACTAAGGATAGGTGCAAACAGGAAGCTGCGTGAGAGGCAAGGTCCCAGGTGGCATCAACAGTCGGCAGTCAAAGGTTAGCAGTTGGAGCCCCCCACAGTCACCAGGGAAGACAGCCCCCAGGATGATGACCATGAGGCCTTATAGAGTGGCCACCCTCTGGAATGCCCGGGTGGCCATTTTTTTGTTTCATTTTGTTTTACCTTTTGGTGTGGATAAAATAAGATGGATATATATTAAACTCTCAACACAGAGTCAGGAACATGGTAGATAAGTAGGTAGATCAAAAGATCAGTAGAAAACTACTCTGGGATCCACTTGGACCTTTGGTGACTGTGTGCACAGCAGAAGGAAGCATGGATTATCCCCACCATTGCCAGCATGTTCAAGTTCATGGTGTCACTGCTGGGCCAGTCCATTGTCCCCAGGGCTCCCACGAGTTCACCACCCCTCCCCTTCAGTAAACATGATGTCTTCCCCGAGAGATCGATCCCCCCTGAGGACGTGTCCAAAGCGAGCATGTTGGACAATGTCCTGTTGCTATCCACAGACGTGTGTTAGAAGTAAATCACCAGGCCTTTCTTCCTACTCCGCCTTAGTGTGGAAGCTCCTCTGACAACTGCCCACCATGGGTGATCCTGCTGGCACCTGAAATAACAGTGGCATGGCTTCCAGTCGAAGAAGAAGACCCTCCACACGATGGATGGACACCATGGCTATAACAATAGGCTCAAACATAAGGACAATGGCACGGATGGCGCAGGACCGGGCAGTGTTTCACGCTGTTGTACATGCGGTCACCATGAGTCAGAACCAACTTGATGGTACACAGCAACAGCAACAACATGACTTCCAGCCTCTGTGCAGCACCCAAGCCACCACAGTCAGGGCAACTGACAGACAGGGGTGGTGATGCGTCCCCTGTAAATGTTAATTACTGTTGCTGCAGGTAGTGCCCAAATCTAAAGTCAACCCCGAGAACAATCAGGAGGAGGACACAGCTCACCAAGCTGTACAAACACCTGATAACAACGTCCCTTTACTCAGACCTGCCTCCAGGAGCTGATGGCTCCTATTTGCCCAGCAGACCCCACCTTTCCTACAGCCAAGGACACTGAGGCTTGGAGAGGGGATGGGGAAGTGCCTAAGGCCCCACACCCAGGAGCAGGCCGAGCTGCACTTGTCTCTTGGTCTTGGACTTCTGTCTCCCCTGGCACGTACTTGGCAGCAATCTGTCGGCAGCCTCCGGCCAGGCACCGTGGCTCAGTAGGCGGCACAGCATTGATCATCTCAGTTCACAAGGCAGCCAGCAGCCCCACATGGCTCTTTCGGCTTGGTGATGTCACCAAGAGCCAGGTTCCTTCCGGCTCTGGGCTCTCCTCCCCTCCTTGTAGTTTCCAGCCAAAAAGATGCCATCTCTTCCTTGTGTCTCTTTCCCATAACCCCCTTCACCATCCAAACCATGCAACTCTCCGGTCTGGCTCACACCCCTATCCTAACCCAGCACTTCCCAAGACCCTGCACTGCCCAGATTGGCTTAAACCAGTGTTTCCCAATGTGGGTGATAGTGACCCCTGGAAGGAATGGGAAGGTGTGGCAGGGGGCTGCAAAAGCAGATACCTACACTTTATCCTGGATTATGGCTTATATGACGCACACTTTTCACTGCTAGGTGGGACACTGAGTCATTTTTTTTCTGAAAAGGGGGTGGGGATGGGGCCAAGTCAGTTTGGGAACCTATGCCTTAGACCTTTGGTTTGGGGGTTTTGAGAGAAGCCAGGGAGTCCCTTGGCGGGCAGACAGCTCACATGCATGGCTGCTAACCAAAAGGACGGAGACCTGAGTCCATCGAGAGGCACCTCGGAAGAAAGACCTGGCTTCCAAAACACCAGCCGCTGAACCCCCAGGGAGCACCACTCTCCTGGACACAGAGGAGTCCCCGTGTACTAAAGACAGCACGTGTCTGCTTGGTGGGTGGGTGGGTTGGGGTGGGTTGTCAGAGTCCACATAGAATTCCTGCTGTTAGCTCCAAGCAAGAACACAACATGTCAGGGTTGGGGTGAGGAGGATTCCAGGCCCGAGGACTGACGCACATTCATGACCAAGGTTGGGCCAGCTCCGGAGCAGGGGCAGTGCCTGTTGTCCTCCCGCTCTGGCACATAGTAGGCGATCAATTTATATGCGTTGGATGAATGGAGTTCAGCTTGGTAAAGCCGTGGGGCTTTGAACCAGGGGAGGGGGTGGGCAGGTGGGTCTCAGGGCAGCCAGCACTACGAGTTCCTCCCCTTGTTGGCAAGAGATGACACTCCCTCTGTGAGTTCTCTTCTCGGGATCCTTTCAACCCAGTGGGTTCACCATAGGAAAGAGAGGCCCTTGTGGGAGTAGGGGTGGGGCTTCTCTTCTCCTGTCAGCGCAGCTCACCCTCGGGACTGCAAGTGCAGGAAGGGAGGTGAAGTTACTGCCCCACCTATTCCTTCCTGGTCATGTTGGACACCCAGCGGAGGAGGGTGCCTCAGCTACCACATACCTGTGGTGCCCACTCACCAACTGTCTTAACAACTGCAGAACATCTGTAGTGTTATCTGCGTTTAGGGCTGAAGAAATTGAAACTGAACAGAATGTGTTCAGTTTCAGAATGAGTCACTTGCTGATAAGTACCAGGGCTGGGATTCAAACCCAGCCTCTCTGACTCCAGGGCCTCACCCCACACCACCTCCCACACTCTTGACTGGGACCACTCATGACTCAGCTCTGGTTGCCCCTACCAGAGACTAGCCGCATCAAGGGATGGAGAAGTGCCGCTGGGTGTGCCAAAGGCAGGAGGCCAGGAGGCAGGAGTAATGGGGAGTAATCCTGCTGAGCCCTTGCTTTTGGGATCACTGTGACTAGCTGATGTCCAGGAGACCCACCCCCGGGGCAAAGCGATGGGCTTAGGCCTTCTCCAGCCCTGCTCTTCTGCCAGCTGGCTGCTTTCCCCAAATGCCCACACTCTTTGCACACCTGCCCCATCTCTGTGATGGGAGGAGAGGGGGCTGAGGGTCCTATCTTCCTCTCATCTTTTCTGCCTTCTCAGTGTCCCCTTGGGGGGCATTTTAATTGGCATCCCTAACAGCTTTGCTCAGAGCTCAAGTAAGCCCCATAACTGGCCCAACCCCAAGGAAGCCTGGCCACCCGAAGTCAGGGCCTGATCTTTGGTCTCTCTCGGTCTGTGACCTGGCTTCTTGTTATCCTCTGCCCTTGCCCCTGACGCACGGCGGCCCATGCACAACTGGTCATGGTGACCCCGTGCACAGTGGAATGATCGTCTACAGGCTTTTTGCTGGCTGGTTTTAGCAGTAGATCATCAGGCCTTTGCTTCTAGTTTGTCTCAGTCTGGAAGCTCTGCTAAACCTGGGCAGCATCATATTGCTGTTGTGTGCTGTTAAGTCAGTCCCAAGTCATGGCCCTGTGAGACAAAAGAATCCTGTTTGTGTGATGCTGTGATGCTGGAAACGATGCCACCAGTGTTTCCAATCGCAGCAGAGTCCCCCATGGGAAGCGGGTTTCAGTGGTGCTTCCAAGCTAAGACTAGGAAGAAGGACCCGGTATTCTACTTCTAAAAGCATTGACCAGTGAAAACGTCATGAACAGCAGCAGAACACAGAAGGCACTAAATACGACCAGGGAAGAGCTGCCTCTTCAAATAAAGCCCATCTTGATGATGCTTGGATGTAGCCCTTTCATATGCCTTCTGGGCGGTAATTCTTTATGTGA